ATACTTGATCATGAATGTAAATGAATAAGAGAAACCATGCTTTTAAATACAATGTTGTAGTCGTTTTGGGAGTCCAGAACATTTGATTCGTCGGTCAAACGTAATATAATCGTCGTTATACAAAACATTGACGTATATACGAATATGAATGTATTCAGTAGTGAATGATTTACATTTCAAAACTGTTGTTAATATTAAAAAGTGTGACGGCCGGTATGTTTCGTGGTGCCCTATATGTTTATCTGGATCAGTGAATTGGCTAACTTGATTGTCAATGACGTGTTCTACTTTCTTTTTAAAAAAATTTATAGATCGACTAGCTGTTCCCGTGCGGCTTCATCCGCACGAAAATATAAAAACATTATTTCATTGTTCACATTTTGTCAAATTATCAAGTGCAAATGTCAAAATGGCATGAAATGGTGATCTTTCTTCCTTGACGTTGGCAGCTTGTAGTTTATGGTCCCTTTCCCACATGACGCTGTTTTTCCAATTTATTTATCCCCTAAGTCTAATAGCGTGAAAATATAAAGCCTAAAGCGTGTCGGATATGTATGATTTTTTTATTAAATTTTATTGTTTAAAAAGTTCAGTCAAAATTAACGTTGCCATAATAACCTCGTTTCCTTAATGTTGGTAGCTTGTAGTTTATAATCCTATTCCCACATAAAGGTTTTTTTTTCAATTTACTTACCCACTAAGTATCATGGCGTAAAAATATATAGCCTAAAGCGTGACGAAAGTGTAGGGCTTTTTATTAAAAAAATAATTATTAAAATATGCTGTAATTGCTGATATCTTAGGCAACAAAGAAGTGTGTGTTTACGCTTTATTATAATAGTATAGAAGTATAGATAGATAATTATATTAGTCCTTACGCGGCACTCATCTGTGGTAAATAAACAATGCCCATTTATGGCATAGTTATTGTGTAATAGATAAGAGAAATGGTGTTTAGACATTCAAAATGATTAGTAGATTACACAGGTGTTCATATTGTTATGTTATCATACGCAGATTTAAAATATTTTGCAAATTATAACCTGTGTACATAGTGGTCTCAAGCTTTTGGCGGGCAGTGTAAATGTCTTATGTAACAGGACACGAGTCTTCCGTATGTATCTGAGCGTCAGATTTGTAATTCGTGGAAGAGGCGCCGCGGCTCCGCGATCGATTATGTATGAGAGACCAAGTCACACGTCAATTGTTTTATTCGTTTATTTTAATTTAATGTATTCTCGATGTAGAAGGCGCCGAGGATATTTCTGCCACAAAATGTCCTTGTACTAGATACATTTCGTAACACTGAAACTATGTTAAAAACGATAATGTATTTGTTCGTTATGCTTTTCTCCTTTTTGTCCAAATAACACGGAAGAAATGGTAATTTTTGTCACAAACTGTAAGCATTAAAATGGAGCAAAACATAAATACGGGAAATAAAAGATAGTTATAATATTAACATGGTTGCCTATTGTTTGCCAAAACAGTTATATTTTTAAAATTAACTAGTTTTAAAACATTAACGACAAGTCACTTGACAGAATTAAAAAAAATATAGCTAGTTCATGTGACAGCGATGAAAACTATTTCCTTCGTGTCTTCTATTCATAACTTTGGGAAATGAGGAAAATGAAAACTGTGCCAAGTCGAGACGAACAAATTAACGATAGATAGGTATTTAACGAAACGATATTCATAGTATCAATAGCTAAATGTGTGGACATGTCATTAACCTTACATTTATTGCCCGACTGATCGGAGGGTAATGCTAAAACTCTATATACCTGTTTCATTTTTTCGCAAAATTTATTAATAATAAAACACATCGGTGTTGAAAACTCCCGGAACTTTACTAAAATCAGAATGTATTAATAATTCATATGAAGAAAGAAAAATGTTGAAGTCATGTTTATTCCGACGATTGTGTAATAATTGTTATTAAATAATAATTAAAGATGTGAGTGTCGGTGTAGGGTGTAGGGCGAGACGCGAGTGCGGCGTGACGTGACGTGACGGCAGGTGTGCGTGAGCGAGCAGCGCCCGTCTGCGGCCGCCGCGCCGGCTTTCCGCGAACCATACACTAAATTGCACGCCGCAACTGCACCCTAACACACGACAAAATGATACCTTACTTCGAAGCAATAGAGCTCAAACTTGCGTGTCGTTACATATATGCGAATACCTCCCGGATTACGGTGTCCGTGATTTGTGAAAAAGTGAATCCTGTGTCGCGGCAATAGTACGACACCGGTGACGACAACGCCTTGGTGTAAACACACGAGCGCGGGGTCCAAAAGAAAATGCGCAAGACATGCATAACTTACCGAAGTTGGCGGAGTCCGAGACGAGCGTGCGATGTAAACAGGCGCACGTGCGGCGGCAGCAACAGCGGCGGCGGTTGCATCGGCGTCGGTGCAGCGCGGGCGCAGCTGCAGCGTGCGCGGGGCGCGGGCGCGCGCGGACGACTGGAGCGGTACGCGGGGCACCCCTCCCGCCAACCCCCGACCCCCGCCCGCGCACCCCCGCGCGCTCCCCGCCGCCCCGCACATTGTCAACAAACACCGAATGAATGGAAATGAGGCCGCGCTGCAGCATGCACTGGCGTTGTGTCGCGTCGCCCTCATCACACCGTCGCCGCCGCCGCCGCCGTATCGCACCCACATCATTGTCTACGTCACACTGATACTGCATTTATTATAATTTATATCGACACTTTCACTCGTGCGCAGCGGCTGCGGCAACGACAGATCATTGGGGGAATGTGGCACTAACGTGTAGGTACTGATGACGTAAAACCTTAAGTGGACATTTTATTGTTTACCGATTTATAACGAACATACAAGCTTCAACTTTTATCGCGACACATTATTACAATTGTTGCTATATTTTGATTAAAACACTAGATAGAATCACTTGTTTCAAAACAATTTTTTTAAATCAATAAAACTTTGAATTTTATAGTCAAAATACTACGACACAAGGATTGCACTAGAAAAAGTACAGGACAGGGAGCGCGGCGCTTAGCGACCGTTGACCCCGTCGTCGGGCGGCGGGCGGGGCGCGGGCACCGAGCACCCGAATTCTTGTGCGTGCGCTCGCACGCCGATAAAACACCCTCGGTGGCATCCGAGCCCTGCTTTCGCGCCAACACACCTTTGTTCTAGAACTTACACTACTAAGAAGTCAACCTCGGTAAGTTATTCATATTAAAAAAAACACAACGGCTGGTCTGCTGTAAAACTTCTGTCCATTGGTTTTTAGTATTTGTTTCTCGTTTACTACTAGGTCAATCGACCATCTCTAATAAAATTCGCATGTCATCAGACGAAATATCAAAGCACTGTCATGATCAGAAAACGAAAATGGTTACTTCCGTTAATTGAACCAGTGATTTTCATTACTTTTATAACAAAGTAGACGTATGACTACAACACGAACGTTTAGCAGAAATCTCAAGTTTCATTATAGTATAAATATTTACGTATAGTTATATTGTAACATGAACGTATTGGGAATAACGTACAACTTACAAATCCTGCGCACGTAGTATTCGTGCTATAATCGCTGTACATTGATAATGTATCCGGCGACTGCAAACTGCCTGGAATGTCTGATTCATGGGATTTTCCTCATATACCTTTCTGTTTACTGGATGACAATGTTATAATGCATTTTTTTTAGTAAAAAAGAACTATTTATAGATTGCATGGATACAAATCTCAAACGCATTTAATTTGGTTACATGTTTATTACTAGCGATCCGACCTAGCTTCGCCTGGATAGCAAAGAATATATCATACCTTTTCTCTAATATCCCTACCCTTCCCGGTTATGTAAAAGTAGGCTATGTTACTCAGTGATAATGCAGCTAATGGATAATTAAAAAAATCGCTTTACTAGCCTCGGAGTTATTCAATGCAAATAATTAAGCCTTTCTTTATAACAAGCAGAGAAAAACACTTTTTAAACATATTTGAAGTGTTGGCGGCGCAATGAATTCCACTCCTTTAAAGGATGGGAAGAGGTAAAATGGTTTATTTTAATTAAATCTGAGCTTTGCCAAGACAACTTATGTGCTATTTATTTGCTTGTTGCTAATTCTTATTGATAAAGGTTGTCACTCACTAGACGGATTCAATGCTAATTTACCACCTAAAACGTTATGACGAGATTTCTTTGTACCGCACTTCAATGAGGTTCATTAAGAGTGATAGTTTGTCGTTACTTATTTCACTGCAGGTAGTAAACCCGAAGTCATTGTGATCTTTGTATCCAAAATTAATTCCTTTGTCAGACTAATATTTTTTCGTCGAAGTCTCTGTGCGCGGTGTACCATATGTTTTTTTATTATACCAAACATCTGGCGGCCTGATTCCGCGAACTACTGAGCAGGTGTAATTTTTATTACGACTAACTGAATGAGCGGTTTGCTCATAGATTTAGCTGTCGCAAATTGTACACATGCAAAGATTTCAGATCCAAGATGGCGCTGACATCCATACCTCTATACTAATATTATAAAGATTTTTTTTGTGACTGAATAGCCACTGTTTGCTTTGAAGAGGCATTTACAGATTCAACGGGCTTGATGTGGCCGAGTGCTGATGACGCTTAGCCTAACCCTCATTTATGAGTAACTAAGTTTGAGGGCTCCCTTAGGAGCCTCGGCACGATTTTTTAATTTCCCGCGGACCAGGTCGCGAGCAACAGCTATTTTCAAATATATTTAAGTAACGAAACGAAGATATTTCTATGGAGATATATGAACAGGTCTATTTGTGATGGAAGCTAGAATCAGCTTTGCAGCTAGTAGACTTGCATTCATTTAACTGCTACTCTTAGAGGTAAGTGGTCACACAGGGAGTCCCCTCAGTGTACATTTAGTACAAGCACTGCGACTTTTGAAATTAACTAATATTAAGTAGAATAAGATTAATTCCTCTTTCTCCATAGAAATTGATTCGCACAAAGGAAGGATAGAAATAAGTATTGCCATATTGGTATCATAACGTTATATTTCAATAGAAAAATATTACATAGAAATAATATAATTTTTCTTAAGTAGTAAATAATCCGTCAATTACATACAATGCCAATTTAAAAAACTTAATAACCATTTTAATAATTCAAACTAAATTATTGTCTATAGGAATAAATTACTTTGTTATAATAATTACAGTTAATTTGACATTATAATAATTAACTTAAAAACATTAAATGGAAATTGACAAGTATTGCAATATCTATACTAATATAATAAAGCGTAAACACGCACTATTTCTTGGCGTAGGATGTCATCACAGCATATTTTTAAATAATTCTTCTTTTAATAAAAAGACCCTTCATGCACGACACGCTTTAGTCTATATATTTTCACGCTATTAAACGTAGGAAGTAAATAAATTGGAAAAAACTTCATGTGATAAAGTGACCATAAATTTGAAACTACCAACATCAAGGTAGAAAGGTTGCCATAATATACATATAATGTTTATTGTTATCCAATGTCAAAGGCCTTTGTTGTCATAAATGAAGTTTTTATAATTTCATGCGGATGAACCCGCACGGGAACAGCTAGTCACTAATGTAATTACTTCATTGTCATTACATACTACAAGAATTGAAACATGGTCAAATAAAATTAATAAATAAACAATAAAACTTACGTATACCTTAATGGTAAGAACGAATCTTGTACTCTTAACAATTTGGAATACTCAGAATTGAACTATGGATTAACATTTGAACAATGGGACCGAGAGATCAACACAATTTGCTTTTGTTCGACAAACACTACACAGCCCTAGACAAAGTAACATTCGATTAGAAATATCGTTAATAGAATCATCAAAACATCTAAAAAGAAAAGAAGAAATTATTGCCAGTTTTATGCATTTTTAATCGAATGTTATTTTATATAGTAGATAGTTTTGTTTCCGCTTCTATTACAGAATTTTAACGAACAATTTCTAAGACACATCAGTCAATCGATCTCATTGCAGCTCGCTTTGTGCGACTTGTTAGAGGTATTCGTGTAGCTATATCACACAATCATGTCCAGCAATCTTAACATCCTAACTAGCATTTACATATTTACAATTTGTTTGGTTATTTAATATGGGAAATGATACTTTGGTAGAGTAAACGTAGGGTTGTCCGTTGCGCTGGTGGTCGTAGGTAGTGCTGGGTCAGGAGCGGACTTAGCCGAGACCCACGTCGAGACACATCATCACCACGAAGCCGATAATGCAGCCCCACGTCGCTAACTTGCCGTTACCACTGCACACAAAAGGTTAATAACTAAACTAACTTAATATTAGTAAAAGATTTTAGTAAAAAATTCAAATCCGATCATATATATAATAAAATTGGAGTGTCTGTAATATAAAAAGAAAAATTCCAGATTTAGAGGAGATAATGTATTTGCGTTACTGATAACGAAAATCGCAGTTAAAATTATTTTTTCTGTCTGTCTGACCGCAAGCCGCGTTTGTTACGGGTAATCTCCGGAATGGCTGAGCCGATTTCAACTTTCACTGGAGGGTAGCTGACATAGACGGGCATGTTATTGGTTACTTATTTTAATTCTGCGCTGTTAAAATTTCGAGCGGACCTCTATCACTGGAACGGGTGGACCGATTTGGACGGGACTTTTACTGAAAGGTAGAAGGTGGATGCACACAGGAATGAGATAGATGACTTTTTTAATCCTCGCTAACGAAGTTTGCGGGTGACAGCTCGTGAAAACTAATTAATTATTTCTAGGATGCAACTAAGGTGTAAACAGACTATTTAGTTATAATAATCCTTTAGTTCTTTTATCCTTTATTCTTAGTCCTCAGTTCAAGGATTAATTAAACATTTATTTATTTAAATTGCAGCGGCGGGTAATTTGAATAAAGGATGTAGCGGCGGACTTTCGCAGTCGAAATATAAAGAAAACATAGATCCGTTATAAGATGTCTGTCGTCATACGATACGGGCCATTGAGGAGTAACGAGCGTACGTCGCATGAATACGAAGGAGCGAGTGGATCAGTACACCGTGCCGGTCGGGGCGCGCGCCTCACGCACTACTATACAGAGACAATAGTCATCGGCCGCCCACCGGAATCCGCTAACTGGAATTATAAACCATTACAATAAAACGGTTCCCCGTAGCCGCTTGCATGTCGTGTATGTAGGATTTTATTGGAAAACTAAACGGCTATTTATGCGCGCCTCCGCGATTTATAGCATATTTGGACTCGTTAATATTGTGCACGCGAATGATATGTGAATCGTTAGGTGCGATTGTATTCTTTTCTAAACGCTCGATTGCTCTTAGACACGATTACTTTACATCGCGTATAATCAATTCTCCATACATATCAAGTCAGATGATTATTATAACACCTTCGAATGTTGGAAACCTATTTGGATTTGATTGCAAATCAAATATCTGGTAAGTAAGCAAGTTTAATTATACCATTAAGTGTAAAATTATTTTTATGAAAACTTTTTTTATTACAGCAAGGGGCAAACGAGCAGCTGATTGTCTTATGATCCGACGCCCATGGGCATCCGCAACGACAAGAGAACTGTATTTACGGCGTTGGCCTTTAAGGGAGGAGTCCGCTCTTTTCTTGGAGGCTCCTAAGTTATAACTGTTTGAAAATACCACTAAGGACAGAGTATTCTACAACGCGGCTGTGCGAAATAGTTACGCGAAAACCTCGTCCTTGTGGAATGCCGATTTAGGATGTAACGATGAAATTTGGCCTTATATCGACTAGTGCGATGACGGAAGTTAAAAACGAATGAAACGTTTAATTAGATATAATTTATTTGTTACAAACATCACATTAATAAAGCGTAAACAAGTTCAAGTTTCGCTTAAATCACGCACGATTACAACATCCGCTTTAAAGAACAATGGTCGGGAACTGAGCAAGTCTTATGATCTAACGTCGACTTATTACATTTGCTTACAGTCGATTTTCTATCAATCATAAACATTCCCGAGGCGAAGGAAACTAGAGCTTTTAGACATAAATTGTATAGCAGACAATACATGCCGAAATCAAGTATATTTCCAATGTATCTGACTTGAAATGAAATTGCCTTCTTAACACGGGAACGAATGCCTTTACGCGCAATAATTCTTCTTACTTATGTATACATTCGCGTACATATTATATGTACATGAAAAGTCGGAAATTCCGAAGGATGTTTATGGTATTTAAATTGCACAGAGTGTGACACGGTGACGCAAAAACGTTAGGACCTCATTGGAATATAAATTAAAGTTGGCCAACGATTTTTACGACACCCAGATGATTGTAAATGTTTGTTACAACTATGCACTTTATCCTTGAATACTGTTACAATGTATCAATTCCCAGAACCTAATGTGAGTTAACAGTGGTCAGTGTGTGCACTAATTGTGCTTATTAGCATGCTATTAATTCGCGACCGTTACATGGAATAACAGTATATCGGTCGGCGGCGGTGCGGCAGGGGGAGAGGGCGAGCGGGGAGAGTGGCGGAGGCTGAGCGGTGAGCAGTGTAAATATTCGCGAGCGGGATCGGAGGCGCGATCGGGATATCTGGCGGTAGGTCAGGGAGAGCCGGGCGGCGCGCGCCGGATTCCCAGACGGTGACGTTGGCGGTTAGACAAACTAGCGCGGCGTCATCGGCCTTATCCCGGCAACCGACATGTTATTTCACATATTTATTATTATTGAAGGTGGCGAGACGGTGACAAAATCACGCGCGGCGCGCCGGAGCCGGTCTGCGGGCAGTCCGCCACCCGCCCGCCCTGCAAATAGCACGCGGCAAGGGCGGCGAGGAGCCGAGCGACGGCCGGCGACGGGCGCACGTGCACTGCGCCCACGAGGTGCAATATACTTGATGTAAATATCAATATACGATTACGAAACAATTATATTTTCGTAGTCTTCTCTGAGAATTTTAACTTTGTATTCGAAATAATATAACTGAATTTATAGTTGGAATAACATATTAACACAATTCTGCATTATTTTGAAAATATTGTGTTTAGACTAATAGAAACAATAACATACCTAAACAAAAAAAATCTGTATGTAAAGCTAATGACCAATTTAATTAAAAATTTCTCAGTAATAGATTAAAATAGCAGGTTTCACTAGTATGATGAGTATTTTCATTAGATCCTAGAAATTATTTGGATGAGATTACGAAATGAATCTACAATTAATTGTGTATTAGGCAACAACAGAGCTGTGCGGTCGTGCCGGTCTTTATATAGTAGTGGTGGCGACGAGGCGGCCGGCGAGGGTGCCGGCTGCCGGCTGCCGGCGCGTCCGGGGTGTCAGACGGCGTCGGTATTTCGGGCCGGGTATTTACAGCGCGACGGCGGCGGCGCAGCGCCTACTTGCACGTGCCGCTTGCACATTGCGAAACACTATTGTTTTTTAAGCATATTGGACTCATCCGCATTCATATACGATGAGACTTTACAGACAAGATCGCAGCGTCTCGACTAGACTACTACATAATACTTATGCATCTTTTTTAATGCATCATTTAATCAAACCTCTAAAGCATAGAAAACTTTACTTTTAGAACAGAAAATTAAGCTATTAAGATACTCATCAAATAATGTAAGTTAGTGGTACACTTAACATTTGGTAACAAGGTTTTAAAAACAACAATTAACTTTATCAATTAACTTAACACATTTTACTTAAATTTCACGCGGACAGTTTACATTTAAAAATGTAATAAATTTGTAAACACATCTAGAGCTCGAAACAAACAAGTGGTTTGTCAATTACGAATGTTTTATTTTTATATCCCATGCTGTTATGCAAACATTTTGAACAATTCGTGAAAATATCCTCGAGGTAACCGGTTCCTTACATCAAGAAGGGACTCGTTACACCACAATACCCTCGAATCGGTGGTAGGAAACTGTTGCTAAGGGGAAACACATATACAAAACTGTCTCGTGTACTTCTGTAACTATAACGGTCTTCTTAATAAACTTTGTAACATTAACAAGGTTCATTTTATATGGAAAGGACCGAATGAATCGGAACAATCAAACCACATCGGTACCCTTGTCAATCTAATAATGACAAGAGCACATGTGCTCTTTCAACTTGTCTATAACGTTAAAGATTTGCACTCCGACAATGTTTGCAAATGAAGGAAGTTTCGATATGAATCTACTAAACAAGTCGTTATTATTCGAAGGTGAGTTTGAATGTATTCAAAGAGCAGGGCGAGGGTTGGTCGGCGAGGGTCAGGGGACAATTGTTATTTCGTGTACACATGACAATCTTCGGACAATCTCAAGGTAACGTAACATCTCCGTGTCACACAAATGTGCGACTTGGAACCGAACGTCTGGTTTATTTTCGGATCACGTCTAGACTTTTTAGTGTTTCTATTTCTAAAACATATTTAGGTTAGTCAGATTAATTCTTGAGATTAGAGCGACAAAAGTAAATGTCTTGCACTTGTATATAATAAGTTTAAGAAGTACTTTAACTTGTACTATGTTTTAACAATTACATGGCTTTTATTCTAGCTTCTAATTACACGTATTGTCTATAGATTTTGTTTATTATTGCACTATTTGTACCTACAAATACTTAGCTAAGAACATAAAAAACGTAAGACTTATATAATTAATAGTTTCAGGCAATGCGAGATTGGATTGGTTAGCTACCATTACCTATCTCGAAAACAAAATTGAAGGTCGTCAACAGCTAAACGTAGGACTCCCCTTGATTGCAATGATGGCCGCATTCAGCAATAACAGGGGCTTAGCATCTATGGTCAAAGCGAATTCTCGAAGCCAATCAGCGACACTGAACATCAATAAGATAAGAATTAAATTGACTTACGATGCGTTTGCCTCTGGAATAATATCGTCAGCCACTACGTATATCATAGCACCAGCTGCAAAGGCGAGCGCGTATGGCAGCACTGGCCGCGCCGCAGACACGGCTACCGCGCCCAGCACGCCGAATACGGGCTCAACCATTCCGGACAGCTGCCCGTACCTGCGGAAATAGAATTTATTAGAATTCTAAGCTGTTATAAGATCTTTTTTGAAAATGTACTGATACTGCTAAAGTAAGCGCCTGGAAATAGTACATTTCTTACGTTAGCAATCTTTTCAACTATGGATTGAACAAATAACAAAGCCGCATAATTGGAACAATTACTTTAGTTAGAGAATAATGTAGCTAGACAAATCATTTATGGATATCATCTCACTTCATTCATTTTCCCATCTTTTCCTTCATTACATTGTAGATAGTCTATGTTAAAACTAGCGATTTGTATAAACAATAAAATTCAATATTTGTAACATTTACCGAGAATCATCCAATAAATAAAACTTATATGAGCAATCGACTAAAAAAGGAAGTAATGCAATGGTTTGGAAGTAGCAACGATTTGTATGTCCAGATGTTGACCCAATTCTGTGTATCCGGGGGATAAACATTGCGCTGGCAGTGACCCGGTTTCGGCAGGAACTCTCCTTGCCTACAACTAGCTCAGTTATTTCACGTCCAATGCTATTATCTTTATTGCAACACTTTAAAATAACTTTCTGTTTGTTTAATAAAAAAGATTAACGATTTCCGTAATGTATTATTTATTGTTTTTCCATAGTGTGAGCTTTTGGTAGATTGGTAAAGTACTTTCTATTGTATTAAGGTTTAAAACAGTCCCTTCATTTACATTACTCTCGAGTTTGGTTTTAAATACATTTTGTAGCATTTATCACTTAATTTAGAAATACAAAACACGACAACGTGCTTCGAATCCTTCGATTAGATAATTCTAAACATTTTGGTCAATGTTTATGTAACTTTTTCAAGTTACAAAATATTGCTAGTTAACTGATATCTGAAAGGTGTAGTAATAATTTATGATGAAAACGTTCAGACTTCAGCATTTATACTCGACTGTCGGAAATTCGATCGACATAAATTGAATAAATCTAAGAGGAATTGGAGAGACACAAACTAAAGCAATTTATAAGAGATCATTCATTTTGTAAAGATTATAATGTATTTAGTAAGTTGTTAATTTTCACGAGTCCGTAGTGCTGTGCGAGGAGGTGAGGGGAGGTGCGGGCAGTGCGGGGCGCGCTGGCGAAAGAGGCCGCCAACGAATTGTTTTGGTGAAAGTGCGCGCCGGTGCCGCGACCACATTCCGACGAACTGGTCGAGGAGTCGCCTCTGTGGGAAACCGCCGCTACCGCCATCGCCAGCCCGTGCCTCGCTGCAGAGGGACCACCATGACTCTACCATACCTATTCAAATGCGCTCGATGGAATGTTGGTAGCTAGAGGCCTTTGTGTGCAACCCAAGTATACCAATTTAGTCGTTTACTTTCCTATGCATATTTATGCCGCGACTAAAGAAACTCATAATGAATTAAGATGCTTTCCATGAGATCAAAAACATTTTATGCAACTATTAAAGGAAAAGTATCGCATGAAGTTACAGACAGATTACTTGATGTTGATAGGTCGAAGTTTGATTGGTAGTGACAATCCAGGGGATTAGGGTATCTAGGGAGCGTATGACTCGTAAACGAGTTTGGTGTTGGTAGTGAGTGTCGGAGGCCG